ATGTATTTAATTAGTGCTAAAAGACAATAACCATTTTGAATATTCCATGTAAATTTAGTCAAAACAGTCACATTTTCTCGTTAATCACACTTGCATTTAACTCTTTGCTTACTGGACAGAATGTTAGCTGCCAACTCTAAGTGTAGAGTTGTAATTTTTCGAACAGTGAAACATAACATTGTCTCTAAATACTTGTTTATATTATTCGATAAAAATAATGTTTTGTAGCATTTTTTGGTAAGTGTTTCTTTTACTTCTTTTTCTCGTTCTAATCTGACATTGAAAAAAAATGCAAATGTCATGGAAAATAATGTTATCAACTGAGGGATATTCATTTTTTCTTGGTCTTTTGTTTGCTTTAGGGAGATGCATAGAATTTGTTATAATCATCTCACTCTAAGCAAGACATTAAAAGCAGCTAGGATATAAGGCGTCAAAGAGAATGAAATAAACAGAGAAGTCTATAAAAAAACAAGATTCAAGAAAACTGAAGTTGACAATTGATATTTCATTTAGATTTTTGAAAATCGTAGTTGACAGCAAAATTGAAAACCTCAAGAGAATTTACACAAGAGAGAAGTGCTAAAGAATAAACTGTTTGCATAGAATATATGATTAAAAATAGTAATTTGGACAGTAAAATTACGAGACACACGTCAAGTTTTTACAACTAAGAAAGCTGATCAGATCAATTATTGTGAAAATGTTTGTAGAAGAAGTAAGTGGCATCTACGTTACAGCATTCGGTAAGTGACTGAAGCTGAGACGCCAGGTCAGAATCGATAATTTTGTCGATTGCATTTTTTATTTTACGAGAACGTTTTCATATAAATAAGAATTCTAATGAGGAAATCTGTCTTTCTAGCAGTAGATTTAGCAATTGGTTCAATATAATCATTACACTCCATGGAAGACGCGGAACAAAAATGCGCCGATTATTGTCGTTTTGGAGGTGAGCATCAGTCAAAAACGTTTCTTTAAAATAATTATTATAGATCAGTTTTAGAGGCGTTAAAATCAACAAGTCACTGCCTGGATTGGAGAGCGTTTTCAAAATCAGTAGACAATTTCATTTTATCGAATCTATCAGACTTGCTAGATAGGATTACATATTTGTGTTATCAACATAGATGCCGCGTCGGGAAGTGATGACTTCTGGAATGTCGTTTGTGATAAATAAGAGACAGAGTGGGTCCAAAAAGAAAAAGAAAGCTACTTGAAGAATGGTGATTCAAGAAAACTTTTATTACATACTCTCTTTAAGTTCCTCAATATTTCTTGGACGCGTCTAGAAAACCAGTGGTCGGTAACATACGGCACGCATGCCACACGCGGCACGCCTAGCAATTTCTGATGGCACGCAGCCGCAAATGACATCGGATAATTCGAACCATTAACTACTACAACGCAAAGAAGATATTTAGCTGTTTCAATTTTAATATATACTAAAGTACTGTGGGAAAAATTGTGAAAATGGCTTACCTCGGAATCGCCTGCGAATCTGTGCAGTGTGCAAACTCCGGTTCTCCCAACGGTAAAAGGAACCAAAATGGCGGCGCCCATATTTTATGCCGGGCGGCCTCAGTTAGTTAACGCGAAATCTCGTTGTCTCGTCATTCGCATGCAAATCGTGGTCGGTCCTCGGCTGTATAAAGCAGGCGCGTTTTGCTGTTTCGGATCAGAGAGCTTTCGGCTCGTGAGAAGGTTGGACGTGCGACACCGGGGTTTTTTGGTCACCCCCCCCTCCTCATGGTTTCTTTGTTCCTGCCTGCTATCATCAGTTGAGTTGTTGCGTTACCTCCCACAAGTACATATACTTTATATTACCATATAAAATATCAAGTAGAACAAGTGTATTGACCTTGACTTGTATAAAAATACGTATGGCACGCAGTTGGCACGCTGAATGATTTTAATCCCCAAGACGGCACATAGCAAATGTTTGTCGACCCCTGGTTTGGCACGGGTGCCACATGTGACACACAAAGTAATTTCTAATGTCACGCATTCGCATATGACATCACATATTAGTCCGAACTGATAAACTTCTACAACGCAAGGAAGAATATACCAAATACGACGAAATGAAGTTTAATATATACTAAATCATATATACTATATATTACTATATACGATATATTGTAGTACAGGTATATTGACATTTACTTCTATAAAAATACGTATGCTGTTGGCACACTGAATGATTTTCAAACCCTAAGACGGCACATATTTAGCAAAAGGTTGCCAGTCCATGTTATAAACAACTGATTTCAAATGGCCGCACAGACGAAAATCCCAATCATGATTAATTAATTAATCCCTATGTTGCGTAAATTTTGACTCACCCTGTACACCGATCTTTGCATTAGTCGACATTTATATTTTGAATAAGAAATCGGGAATGCATATTGTATGATCGATTCATGTGTCGATATGATCGATACATGAACACTCTCCAAAATAATTTTCATTGATAGTATGCCAATTGTATAAAACTGCCCCTCATTTCTGATCGCAAAATCATTAATCTTATTTTAAACTTAGTGCATAGGTCGAAAATCGTTTTCCAATTATAACTGCATTAATTAATAATATGCCACAGGTCGATCGATGCCTCCCGACAATAAAACCATTAATTTATAAACTGCGACCCTTAAGCTGCAATCATAAAATGATTGCTTTATATAATACGTCGTGTCTAGGTCAAATCTGCTGTTTGAACAATGAAATCATTAATTTATAAAATTCGTTCTCTATAGGTCAAGTCTACTCATGAATCAGTGCTTCATAAATTGCCATGAGAACCTTTTTTTTTGCCATCAGTTTGGCTAACTCAAGACTCCAGGAGAACAACACACTGCGTCTTCTTGGCCGCAAAGAAATTTGGGTCACTATGTCATTGAAAGGAAAGTTTTCTCGTCAGAATCCATCTTGCACGTTTACAAATCTATCATTCTTCTGTGGATTGAATACTTTTGCCATGCCTGTCTTGGTGCTCCTGCTATTCATCTAAATGTTCTTGGCAAGATCTAAAGAAGAATCTGCTGTGTAATCGATATTGACCAGGTATCTTGATTTCAGTTACTTTTTCATTGATGCAACATGGCTT